AGTTAGAGCCCTGTCTAGTGCCTACTTGCGATAAATAAATATATATATATATATGTCTGGTCTGTCAAGTAGTTCTTGAGTTGCTGCTTTTAGGTTGGCACAGCGCCCTTTCCCCAACCTCCCCTGACCTTCCAAAATCCCTTAATAAAGGAATATACTTTAAATTATAATAGGATCCCTAATATGAATTATGAGGTCTATTCCTTAATTAAGGGGATTTTGGAAGGTCGGGGCCCTAAACCCTATAGATCCCTTGTTAAAGGAGCCCTTATAGTACCCTTTAAACTTTAAAGGAACTCGAGTTTGAGAGGTCTGGGTCCTGACCTCACATCTTCGCAAGGCAAGCACAGCTGGACTCTGGGCGCCTCCCGCGCGCGCCTGAGGGCGACGGGGAAGCCTTGGATGAGAGTTGTGGGCTCCTTAAAGCTCCCCAGATTTCCTTAAAGTGAGCTATAGGGTTCCAAAATAAACCAGCTTACTATGTCCCATGATCCTCCCAGTAAGCCCTAAACCCCTACATAAGCCCTAAACCCATATGTGTGGTTGTCAATATCAGGGTCCCCTTTTGGGTCCGTATTATCGTACGGCACCTATTATTTAGGGTACCCAAAAAGGAACCCTAATTTTGACAACCACCCATATGATGATCCCTTAATTCTGGGATGTTGAACCTTAGAAGCCGTTGAATGAAAGCAACTTGCAGCCCCTGTTCGATCCCCGTGCATAATGTGTTCTGGACCCTGGGTTTAGGGTGTAGGGGTTTAGGGTTTAGGGCCCTGGACCTAAGAAGATCCGCAGGAAGGAAGCGCTTCATTAAGCGAGTCAAGGGGTTCTCGAAGAAGTGGAGGGAAGTTACAAGAAGGGTTCCTCTATACCGGTGGGTGTCAAAATTAGGGCCCCTTTTTGGGTACCCTAAAAATTAGGTGCCGTTTTATGATAAAGAACCAAAAAGGGACGATAATTTTGACAACCACCCATGTAGGATGAGGGTTCGATTCAGCCAAGAACTGCTAAAGCCTAAACCCTACACACTGTAGCCACAAACACCTGTAAACAATCTCATGCCGACCGGATGGCGAGGTTCAAGTTTCCTGTGGAGCTGATGAAGGACCTTAGTGCCCTTTTGCGGCCCAGGGTTCAGGGGTTTAGGGAGTTAATCAGAGGTTACTTCTACATATGTCTGGGAAGCAGGGTTTAGGGAGTTTAGTAGGGCTTGAGGGCGTCTTGTTTGGGTTTCTGCTTCTTTTGAGGGCTTTTGAGGGCGTCTTAGGGGCCATATTCCCGTATCGTCCCAACCATAGTCCGATATATCCCGCCCCAACCCTTCTCTTCCAATCACTAGGGTACGCTAATGATTCTTTTAATGATGTTTCTTTTATGGTCCCATGGCACAACTAGAATGCCACTGTATGACCTCGTAATGCAGATTTTGCATAGATCCAAGGAGTATCGATTAAATCACAGCCTCCTCCTCGCAACTCGCATGTCTCTCCGTGAACGAAGCCATGCGGTGTACTTAGTAACCTTAAGCCCCAAACCCTAAACCCTATAGATCCCTTATGGGAACCCTTACAGTATCCTTTAAAGGAACCCCAAACCCTAAACCCTAAATTACCAATGCTGTTTGATGGCCGCAGCAGGAAGATGGATCGCTGTCCCCAGCCTCCAATTAATCCTGCACAATTCATTGGGAGACCTCAAAAGCCTCTGCCAGAAGAGCTACATAGCTGAATGATCCAGTAAATCGCGCCCCCTCGAAGTCGTAGTATATGGAATGTGTATGTGTGTGCGTATGTGTGTGTGTGTATGTGTAGACTGTTTACCCTGAGGGTCCTACATGTATCGCAGGTGTGGAATTGCAAAAGCAAAGCCACGTCTATGAATGTTGCACAGCACAAGACCACATATGGAATGTTGTGGCTTTCTGTAACATGTTGTGGAATAATGCAGCCGAGGCTCAATGTCGAAAATCATGATCACAATCCGGCAATTCGAAAGGAGTTAGGGTTAAGGTTTTGGGTTTAGGGTTTAGGGGGGTTTGTGACTTAGGGCTTGGGGCTGAATAAGGGGTGTCAGCCCTGCATGGACTTGAAATTCCAAATCCACGACCCCCCTGGATGCTGCCATTTCCGCTCGGCCGGCGAGTTCGCGGTCGTCAGCACTCGAAGCTTAGGCAGCATATGGTCCAGAGCACATTACTATGTAGCCCGTGGGGTTCTGGGATCGTTCGTGGTGCAGCAAAGGACCATAAACTACAGCTAATTATCGCAAAGCCACAAAGCGAGGCAGGCGCTAAACAACTAGCATTCGAATTAGCATTGGTTCTCGCCCATGAGGCTCCGGAGTGTGCACTGCATCGCGGTTTAGATCATCCTCGGACACATGCGGTTGCAAGTAACAGCCACGACCAGGTATGCAAATAAATCCTCGATCGATTCGGAAGCCAAGTTTCGTGGCATAAAACCGCTGAAGCACGGATCGCTCAACACTTTGTCGATGACATCGTTGGCTGAGGCCTGATAGCACGAATATGTGCATTTACACTAGCTGGTTCGAATAGTGCAGGCTAGCGACATTTAAGCCGGCCCATCATGTCTTCGTCCAAGTAAGTGTGCACGTGTCGTGGATTTAGGACTCGGCTGCACAGTGGGTCACATGCCATATTGTTCGCGATCCCAATAGTTTTTTTGGAGGCGGCTTAGGGCTAAGGGCTCACGGCGAACCTATAAAGTCCAAGGCTCGGCTGAGGACAGCTGTATGTGCGATCTCCTGCATCGCCTGGGAATGTTCGGGAGTTGCAAGGCTCTAGATTCTATCGAGTCCCTGATATGTAGCAGGTATCGACACTAGGTCTCGGGGTCAGGATTGCAGGAGCTTAGGGTTGAGGTTATAAGTTTGAGCGAGGCACGTGCATTTTCGGCTTTAGAGGCCACAGCCTCTGCCCTTTCAAGGCGGCCCGTCGGGCCAAATCGGCATAGGCTTTCTGGAATGAATCCTGGCAGGCAGCATTAGGGTCGAGGCCTAGCTAGAAGGTTCAGGCGACGAGTTATAGGTTTACAAGGCCTGTATCCCTGGGTATTACTACCTGGTGTCGTGATTGCTCTGGATCTTGAATCAAGTGGCCACAATGCATTGCAACCGCTGGGCTTCTGCAGGCTCCAAATAGCGCCCTCTGTCTTCAATGAAGTTGAAGTACTCGCCCAACCAGAACCTTGAATATTGAAGGTCTAGCCAATCATAATAGCATCTTTAGGGTGTGGCTCTGGATTAATTGCAGTTCCGGGTAACACACATCCAGCAAGGATTTTCAGATGATCATTGTCTCTGTGGCATGGCACGAGTCTGGCCAGAAGGGCCGCGAGCCAGGCGATGATGACCCGAGCCTGCATTGGATGTGTGTGAGTTGGGGGGTTAAGGATTAAGGGCTTAGGGCCTAGGGTTGTGTGCAGCTGGGAAACATTGTGCCCCTTAGCAGCCATCTCCGGGTAGGCAATTCCAGACTCTCGTAGATGCTTGGCGCAAAACTCCGGCTGGCTGTGCCTGATGACTTAAGAATCAGGGTTGAGGGTTTAGGGCTAAGGGTTAAAGGATTGATTGGCCTGACTTCAATATCAGGATTGAGGGTTTTGGGCTAAGGGTTTAGGGCTTAGGGTTCAGGGTTTAAGGATTGATTTTTGTCTGACCTTAATTTCAGGGTTGAGGGTTTAGGGATAAGGGTTTAGTGCTGAGGGTTCAGGGTTTCAGGATTGATTTGTCCGACTTTGATTTCAGGGTTGAGGGTTTAGGGATAAGTGTATAGGGCTTATTAGGGTCCAGGGTTTAGGGTTTAAGGATTGATTATTTGTTGCTAGCAAAGGCACGGGACACGGTTGGCTTTGGTCCAGGCATTGAACTCCGCAAAAGCGAGATGCAATCTTCCATTCATTACATCTCTGCCTGGTTGGACAGGCCACATCTCGGGATCCTCATGGCAGAGGGTTTGAGATCTCGAGTTGCATGGGGTATAGGGTCCAGGGTTTCGCGATGCAGCACACAATAAAAATAATGCTGTCGCAGACGGATCACATCCATAGCCAGCAGCTCTAGGAGGGCAGAAGCAATCACCCACTGGGCAATGCCCAAATTCACCGTGTGAAGGCTGCACCATTTCAGCATGGACATGTCAAAGTTGACTAAGCCCAAGAGCACACCTGACGACTGAATCAACGGTCAGTGCGAACTTTGAAGCCGGGGGTGAAGATTTAGATCTGAAATATATATTTGCTTGATTTACAATACCCTTCTTGCAAGCCAAACTGCTCTGACTTCCACTGGAATCGGGCTTGCAGGCTGCTGTGAAATCTGCGATGGTGCGACGGGGCATCCTCGGTAGGGGGCTCGGCACGACAAGGTAGTTGTCGCTTCTGATTAAGCAGTGGTGGCAGAGTTCTTGGGCATTCCAGCCGCAGGCCAGGTTGAACAACTGCTTGTGGAAGACCCAGTCTCCCCGGAGCTCGCAAACACATAGTTTCAGAGATTGCCCATTCATGTCGCACACCTCGTGTCTGTCCTCACCAGCTAAAAGTTGTGCTCCTAGAAGCTCCCTGACCTTGCTCGGGATATCGTAGGCGACTTCGGAGGGCCACTGCACTCCAGGGCGGGGCCGTAGGCCGTAGAAGCACAAGTTCAAAGACAGCACGATCTAGGCAGCTATAGGGTGGGTCCGAGGGTTCTAGGCTTTAGGGTTGCATTAAGCATTCGGGCCTAGGCTATAGGGCTTAAGAGTTGGGGTAGGGCTTCTAATTTGAATAGGATGTTATGGGGATCTGGGTTAAAACCCTAAATTTAAAATCAATATAAGCCCTGTATTCCATTCGATTCTGTATAACGAACAAGAATAAAGCACTGCTAATTTGTAGCTTGGGCCGGTCGCATGAAAGCTTGAATGGTGTCAAAGCCAGTGCTCCAAGCCTTTCAGGGAGAATGCCCAAGTACTAAAAGCAGCACTTCGATCATTATGTTTAAATCTGCATCCAAGAAACACATCGGATTAGAAACAGCGGAAACCGCAGCCGATCCCCCGCGACTACAAAGTTCATCGTCACCGCCATCAGCTTCTCCCCCGCTTGTGTGAATCTGAATTCGTCGCCGTGTAAACCTATTGGCAGAAACTCCCCGAGGTTGACACCATCACCAGATAGTGTAGCGGGGTGACCCGGCTGACCCTGAGTGTGGCTCCAGTACTCGGCGATATCGGCAGGTGTGCCGATGAGGTTTTCCCGCTGCTCGCGAGTCCGGCCCTGGAGGAGCCAAGGAAGTAGCCGGTGGGGCAAAATGACATCGAAGGTCCTGCAATTTCGGGTATATAGGTTTAGGGTAGGGTTTGCATTGAGGTGGGATGTACCCTATATGGTTAGAGGATGTTAACGATTACACTTGGGATATGGGGCTCCTGGTGGTACAAGTTTTCCGACCAGCAACCTTCAGCATGACGGGGACGTTCACAGCATCGACAGGAACCTCGAAAGACAGTAAGGGTAAGTGCATGCACATATATGAATTTGAAGTAGGTACGTGTATACTGGGGAGAACCCAGCCTTGGATTTCAACTGTCGCAAAACATCTCGCTCGACATTGGAGCCGTGAGCTCCAGAGCTTCCGGCTTGTGATAGCCGATGCAAAGCCCCGGAAGGAAGCACACCTTGATTCTGTAAGTCCTGCCGGCACAAGCCAAATAGAATATTCTAGGCATGCAACTGTCATCATGAATAGTGTTTTGTAAAGTCTCCTGGCAGGCGGCTTCAGCACACTCTCGGGCCGTGCTAAAGCTGATGTCCTGGAAGCAACAATCACCGGTGTTGTCATGGAGCAAGCACTAGGTGAACTAGCTCAGCACTTCAATCCCGCCCGGTCCCCCTTAGCAATCATCGACACCAAATTTGTCAGCAGATTCGAAGGCAGGCCGGTGTCCATTCCTGCGATGGCATGACTGTTGTTTTCCGATATGAGCTCGAAACACCACTGCACCACCAGCACCGCTTTTTGAGCTCGCTGCTCTTGTCATGGATCACTCATCAAACACTGCTGGGCATAGAGATGATGCCGCCACAATCTGATTGCCACGACGTGCCCCTGCCAGCTATGCCGGATGCCTTCTCTTCGTGGCCACGGGGTAAAGGTTCTCTACCTAGAGGTATATTCCAGGCTTTAGGGTTCAGGGTTTCTAATGGGCCCAACTTTCAGAATAGGAAACCCCACTATACTAATTCCCGCAACATGTTAAGGGTTGAGGGTAAGCTCGCAATCGGGAGCCGGCGGTGGCAAGGGCTCAGTCGTCACTCAGCACGTGTATGTCATGACACACGTGTTCCAAAATCAATTGGTATGGCTGCAAGAGATCAAACAAGTTCTACTGAAATCCAACCACCGGCAGAGTGCCCATTCACTACATGAGCCGGAAGATAGGGATCACACACTTGCCTGCGACTCTACACATACGGTGAGCGAAAAACCCTGATCAGGCAGCTTCCTTGCCCTTCTTCTTGCTCTTGCCCGGTGCCTTTGCCTCTGCCTGAGTAGTGGCTAGGGTTAGGGGCTACTATATGGGTTCAAAGTTTTAAGTTGCTAGGGTTTGTGTCAAAACATGCTGCAAGTTACGGTCCCGAGTTCTATCCCGAAGCTCAAGCGCCGAGACCTCCCCAACATAATCACAGCCGAAGCAAACCATGCAATAACAGGTTTGAAACCGTTTTAGTCGAATCTATCCTGGGGCTGGCCTATTAACACCGAAAGAGCTGCCCCTGTATTGCTGCTACACAGCTATACAACCAGTTAGGACCTTAGGGATAAGCTTGAACCTCAGTCCAGTCGCGAACTGGGGCTTGATGGTCTTAGTAATGAAGGAATGGTAGGCATTCACGGTTTTGTCGAGGACAGAAATCGTTTGGCCCAAAGCTTCCTCGTCCTTTGTGTCCTTCACCAGGAGATCCTCGATAGCCTTGCTTGCCGTGGCGACAGCAGCGAGGTGCTCACTGATAGCACTCATGTAAGCTTTTCGCAGCTCAGCGGGCCTTGAGAATTGCGACGATTAGAAGGGTTTGCAGGCTCTAAATTAACTACAGCATTAATTCTAATTAATAGCTATAATAAAAAAATTATAACAACCATACGAGTACGTACTAATGAAATAACAGAATTTATACCAATATAGGGAATGTGATCTGGTTGAGAGGCTAGCAGGTCTAGACAAGAACAGGGAGCCCACTTGCTACGAGGGGTACAGGAATTGGCATGGAAGGGGTCAGTACATTCATAACAACAACCCAGACACAGTCCAATCTCCTTGAGATCATCCTCATTGAGGTCATTCAGCTTGCGAAGCCACACACTGCCCTCCACAGAGATCGTAGTGCAATCCCGAAGCTTGGACTTGGCCTTTTGGGCCTTGGTCTGAACCTTTTTCGGCTTGCCAGCCTGTGAATCCGCAACCGAAGCATTGTCCCAATCTTGAGTGGCTGCCTCCGGCCCCGCCAGTGCCTCCAGAGTATTCTTGGTAACCCCACCATTGTTGGCACCCTTGCCACCGTTGTTGCCCGGTTTCGCCTTAGCACTGCCCTTCCGACCCCCCTTCCTGTTGGCACCCTTGCCCTTTCCTTCGGCAGGAGGAAGCTCCACTGCCGTATCTGGCGACTGGAAGCCGATCTGGCCCATCTGCTGCCAAGCCGCAGGCCTCTATGGAAAGCAAGTATTTGGGCTGGTTTCAAGGGTTAAGCTTTTACCGGTGAGGGTTGGGTACGATACTATATTAGAAGCTGCCCCCACCCTGTAATAGTGACCATAAGGGTTATTAGTATATATATTAAATATAGGATTATTATAGGGCCCAATTATATTCCCATTAATATAATTATAATATATATTATACCACTATTACAGGGCGGGGGCAGCTTCTAAACTATATAGGCTCAGGTATAATACGAATTCAAACAATAATCCGAACTCGGCAACCCGACTGTAAATGCTAGCCATAGAATATAGGCTTGCCGGAGGCTTCTGGGTTCTAATAAGTGGCCAATTCAAGGCTAATAAGGGGCTGTTGAAACTAGGGTTGTACAAGGCTCACACGACTCTGCTAGGCAGGGGTTTGGATTGTAGATACTAGAAAGAAGCACCCGATATATGTACATGTATTCGAATTCTAGCTATATATATATATATATATTTATTAAATATATGCCTACACTACAGCTTTTTGTAATTCACATGTTGCAAATAAACATACGATGCCGGATTCGATAGTGCAAGTCAGGCTGCAAAAGTGCGGCAGTTGAGTTCCCGTCGACATTGACTGTTCCCGAAAGCTTGACAGTGTTGGTGTCAACATTGGCCGTCTGGAGCGATGCTCCATCCCAGACAAGGTACTGTGTGTGTGGCTGGCTTTGCGGGAAGTCCGGGTGAGGCATATACCATGGGAAGCCGGGTTCGGCATCGCCTTCGGTTGCCTGCTTCTGGTGTTTCTCCTCGGCTAACTGTTTTGCATGAGCTTCGCCATGCTTCTGTACGAGGTCACTGTAGGAGGCATACACCATGTTGCTCCGTTTCTTGCTCTTGCTTGTGCGGCAGGCTTCCAAGTAAAGCTCGCTTTTGAGCCAGTTTCCGCCGGACTCGGTGTACTGCTGCACCAGGTAGTCGAGCACTTTCTTGTCTTAGTTATCGGATTAAATGCCCACTGCATTTTTATTTGTACCCCACCACCTACAAAAAATACCTGGCCCTCTTATATGTTATTTTATATACACGGATAATAATATATAATATATATTATTATCATATTATGATTATAATATATATATATATTATATAATATATTATGTGTACATATATGTTTAATTTGAAACAATAAGATGCTGTAACACGGGTCAGTCACTACGGAACCGCTTCGCAGCAACCTCTGCGACGGCTGGTGGCAAGTCTTCGCCTGGCTGTCTCGGGTAGGGTTTAGGGTTTGGGGTGTAGGGTTTTAGGGTTAGGGTTTTTTTTGGGGGTGTAGAGTTTAGGGTTTAAGCTATATAGTACCAAAATAGATAAGTGGCTCTCCAAAGATCGCTCCATTCGCAGCCTGGCATTCCTATGCGACAGCCTAGCCGCCCTCTGTTCCGGGGTCTCAATCTTCTTGGCTCTGCGGGAGCCAACTTCCTAGGTGTCAATATAAATACAGATCTAGAACTTTATTTAAAATTAGAACTATTTAGCTTTAATTAGATTATAACCTATCGTACTATGTAGCAAACAGCTGCATTCGAAACCCCACACCCTGAACCCTTAGCCCTACAGTAGACACAGAACCACTGCAGGTATGCCGGCTAGAAGCTAAAGGCTTAAGGTTGATCGCCTCAAGGTCCATATAACACCCCGCCCCAAAGCTTTATGGACGGTGAGCTAGCCATAAGGTAAACATATATATTGAATAGAATCGAAAGAGCCCTGTTTCGTTATTCAGGGAAAGACTATATAATATATAATTTAGCGACATACACTATATGTCTCATCACTGCTTGACCCCATGTATAGTATAATTATATAACCGGGCTCTTTCGATTCTATTCGAATTCAATATATATTTTTACAATAGCGGGATAGTGGGTAGAACCTCCTGCCCGAGCTGCAGCCAGACCATCATCAGCCAACAACCCAGTCGGGTCCTGCGAGTGGGCTTCTCATCGTGTTGTAGTGGGCTGTTTTTCTCATCGCTAGCTCTACGTGTGAGCAGATCATCATGTTATCTCATGAATTTAATTTGCAAGATTATGCTTCGATTGGGTCCGAGATGTGGGCATTATTCACAAGCAAGATGCTATCCCGTAACCTGATCCTTGAAACACTAACCTGATAGTATAGACTCTTAGCTCTACTCCCTTCTTAGACTCATGAGACCCAAGGAGAGCTGCCTCGATGTCCTTGCGAATGCTGTCTGGATCCATCACATCGGGAGCTGAGGCCTTCGGAATCGTGTTGAACTTAAACGATGGCTTCGGGTGTGAGCGATAATAATCTTTAGATGGTCTGCCAGGCTCCTTTGGGCTGCTTTCAAGGATCATGTACTGATAGGCAAAGATAATTGGTGCACAGTGGAGACCGAGGGAAAGACAGGGCAGGGCAGGGAAGTTTACCCGCTAGGAGATTGTGCTTATGTGCACCGGCAAGCCTTCTCCAACTCATGTTCCAGATCCTCCATGACCGTAACCGCGAACTCATCGGGCTGATCCTCGTAGTCTTTCATGTGTAGGGGTTCGGATAGTGGCTCAAGGTCGTTTGGGCATTAAGGTTCTTGTCTCTAGTTAAAGATTACAAGGGGCTTGGAAGACAAAACCGAATTCGTTGTGATACTTTGCAACTTGTTTGCAGATTAGCATAAGATATTAATTATAAATATAGCTAATCGATATGATGATATTTATTCGTATTCGTATAATTATTTTACTGGAATGCTAATTAATAAGACTAGCGACTGCAGCAGTGGTGCCGCTCGCCGGAGCCACCGGAACCGGGGGGACAGAAGCTGCTGCTACAACCGTCGTTGCACTAGGAACCGTAGCCAAAAGCCCTGTGGTCGAGCTAACCACGTGCACATTTGCTGGAAGAGCCGGGCTTCGCACTGTTGCAATCGGGGGACATGCAGCTGCTGCTGCAACCGTTGCAGGAAGAAGCGGGCTTGGCACTGCTGGGGCAGACACTGTCGGGGGCACACTCGCAGGAAGAACCGGGTGTGGCACAGCTGGAGCTGGTGTAGCAACCGTAGACGAAGGGCCTGTGGGGAAGCTGGGCAAGGCGGCGGGCACCACACTTGTTGCAAGAACCGGGCTTGGCACTGCTGGAGCAAAGCTTTGAGCTGTTGCTAGAACAGTCGTTGCAGTAGGATTGGCAGGGCCTGTGGTGGAGCTGGGCACAACCGACGGGCTAGAAGCTGCTGCCACAACCGTCGTTGCAGTCGGAACCGTAGCCGTGGAGCCTGTGCCGTAGCTAAGCATCACCGTGGCCGGCACACTTGCTGGAAGAACCGGGCTTGGCACTGCTGGAACCGAGGGGTTGGAAGCTGCTGCCACAACTGTTGCTGCAGTAGGAACGGCTGGGCTTGTGGTGGAGCTAGGCACAACCGCACTTGCTGGAAGAACCGGGCTTGGCACTGCTGGCACCGAAGGGTTGGAAGCTGCTGCCACAACTGTTGGTGCAGCAGGAACGGCTGGGCTTGTGGTGGGCACAACCGCACTTGCCGGGCTTGGCACTGCTGGAACCGAAGGGTTGGAAGCTGCTGCCACAACTGTTGGTGGAAGAACCGGGCTTGGCACTGCTGGAACCGAAGGGTTGGAAGCTGCTGGCACAACTGTTGGTGCAGTGGGAACGGCTGGGCTTGTGGTGGGCACAACCGCACTTGCCGGGCTTGGCACTGCTGGAACCGAAGGGTTGGAAGCTGCTGCCACAACTGTTGGTGGAAGAACCGGGCTTGGCACTGCTGGAACCGAAGGGTTGGAAGCTGCTGGCACAACTGTTGGTGCAGTGGGAACGGCTGGGCTTGTGGTGGGCACAACCGCACTTGCTGGAAGAACCGGGCTTGGCACTGCTGGCACCGAAGGGTTGGAAGCTGCTGCCACAACTGTTGCTGCAGTAGGAACGGCTGGGCTTGTGGTGGAGCTGGGCACAACCGCACTTGCTGGAAGAACCGGGCTTGGCACTGCTGGCACCGAAGGGTTGGAAGCTGCTGCCACAACTGTTGGTGCAGTAGGAACGGCTGGGCTTGTGGTGGAGCTAGGCACAACCGCACTTGCTGGAAGAACCGGGCTTGGCACTGCTGGCACCGAAGGGTTGGAAGCTGCTGCCACAACTGTTGGTGCAGCAGGAACGGCTGGGCTTGTGGTGGAGCTGGGCACAACCGTGGCCACACTTGCTGCAAGAACCGGGCTTGGCACTGCTGGCCCGGAAGCTGCTGCCACAACTGCTGTTGCAGTAGGAACAGCGGGGCTTGTCGTAGGCATCGTAGGAGCCGTCTCCAACATTCCGGCCTCAGCTTTCAGCTAGTATAATATATAATAATATATATATATATATATACATAAGTATAATATATATATATATATATATATATAATTATATATATACATGTATATATATATATATATACATGTGTACATGTGTGCCCATATATATCATGATCTATAGATATGCAATATATATATATATGTTATACACATATACATATATATATATATATATATATATTGCATAGATCATGATTTACGGGCACACATGTACACATGGTTCATGTACATGTACACTTATAATTAGTGTATATTGTAGACACACATGTATATAAACATGTACGTGTATTAAGTATAATAATATGCTAGCTACATGTTAGTAATTATTATTATCCGTATGAACTAGTTACATACACACACATGTATATATATATATATATATATATATATATATTATATTATATTATATTATATTATATTATATACACATGTACATGTACCATATCTAGATATACACTTCGCTTCTCGTCATAAGGATAAGAATACACTCCATGTACATGCAGTCATGATTAGAATAGTGGCCATGATCATAATAATATGTATGCACAATGTACTAACTTTGCCGTTCTTTAGCTTGCATTCCCAGGGACCTCGGGGTTGTAGGCGCCCACCTCCTCCTGGGTGTCCTCGACACTCGTCTTTTGGGTGTCGCAGGGTTCGGTGGGTGTCAACACGTTCCCTTCAGCGAGTGGCTCCACAACAGGCCCAGGCAGCTTTCCCTTTTGAGGAGTGGCGAGCAGCTGAAGTGCTGATGTATTCTCGATGCGAAGAGCTTCGAGCTGAGCCGCATCCATCTCCATCCAAAGCTGCACCATCTCCGTCAGCTTTGCAGCCATATTGCCATTCTTGAAAAGTCCAAAGACAAACAGCTGGGAAACTGCCCAGGAGGCAGCCACTTGATCTTGCCTCAGCATCTCGCTGATCTTCTGCTTCTCCAAGACAGAGTTCTGCTTCGCCTCCTCGAGCCAACGGTCAGTCAGCTGTAGCTTGCGAAGAACCACGGGGTCGTCCTGCGGATACTCATTCAAACACCTTTTCATTTTGTTGGCTGTAGCTTCCAGCCGATCCTCATCTCCAGCCAGCTTGTCCAGCATGAAGACACTATTCATGCTGTTCCGGACACTCAGCTGGGCCTCCAGCACACCCTCGATCAACATCCGGTTCTCGCCGAGCACCATATCACTCATGGCCTCGCCCGGGAAATCACACTTCATCCAAGTGAGCATGTTCTCCAGGCCCACGGACGGAGGCTCCATGAGGGTCGCACCTTCGTCACGATGCCAAAAGTAGAAAGCTGCAACGTGTGCATCCACAGCTTCGGCCATGAAACTCTTGATGCTCATCAGCTTGGGCTTGTACGGGGCATCACCTAAGGTTTATGGCCACATGTGTGCTATACATGTTAATTAATAATTATATATTTATATGTTCGTGATCATCTACTAGTCTACACTGAGGATGTATAAAAATACCACAGATGTCCAGCTCAATGCTAT